TTTGTCTTCAGAGTGAAATCCTCGGGGGAGAATATTATGGATGTTAAAGAGGAGGATGAGGAGTACGGTGTGGTGACGGAACCTTCTGAAGGACCCTCGGAAAGTGGAAACCTCGGGAACGATAATATCGTAAAAGAAGAACGCAAAGATGAGGAGTACGGGGTGATGGAGGAGATTTCTGGTGGACACATGGACATTATGAGGGAGCCACCTAATAACAGGAACCCACCAGAGAGATGTCCTCTGTATTCCCGGGATCCCACCCAGGAAGATCTCACCGTCCCCCACCATGATCAGGTAGATGATGGACAATCACTGGTGGTATCTCTGGGATCTGGACATTGTCTACATTGTTACAGTTTATTATCATTTTATATACAGAGAGATTCTAAAGTTGATATCAAAGAAGAGATAAAAGAGGAGGACGATGAGTACGGTGTGATGGAGAAGTCAGACGTTCAGGAGAACACGGAGGAGTCATCCAGCTCCAGGAACCCACCAGAGAGATGTCCCCGCCCCCTGTATTCCCGGGACCCCACCCAGGAACATCTCACCATCGCCCACCATGATCAGGTAGGGGATGAACAGTTATTCTTAGTTATGGGCAAACTTTTTGGTTACAATAAATCTTTTATCATGTATTCAGAGTGGAAACCTCGGAGATGATAATATTGGTATTAAAGAAGAGTATAAAGAGGAGGATGAGGAGTACGGGGTGATGAAGCAGCTTCCTGAAGGACACATGGACATTATGATGAAGGTACGTAGTAACAGCAACCCACCAGAGAGATGTCCCCGCCCTCTGTATTCCCGGGATCCCACCCAGGAAGGCCTCACCGTCCCCCACCGTGATCAGGTAGGTGGGGCGGAGCTTCTAGAACATGAAAGTGGCTCATAGAGACAATGTGTGGAATCGGATATCTTCTAGGAGGTCCCACGTCATTAAATACTTCTACGTTACAGATGTTTTCTATCATTTTCTGGGTTTAGGGTGAAGATCTGACGGATATCAAAGTTGAGGTGAAATCAGAAGTAGAAGAGACGTATGTGAGGGATGATCAGCGATATACGGAGGAGGCCGGGATGATGAGGACATCCATGGAGGAGGACACGCCTACAGGTGACCCACAATATATTCTTCTGTTATCCGGGGGAGGGACTGCCGGTCTATACTCTGAGCCTCCTCTTAGGTTGGTTCCTCTTCTTCCAGGAGGCTCATTGCAAGCTCCTTCCAGTGTTACTTATCACTAGCAGCTCTAGGCCTGTGGTCACTTGTTCTGTGGTGAAGGGTCCATAGATCTGAACTTTGAACCTCCTTGCTTATCAGAGATCACATGACCCAAGGCCTAGGCTTGTGGTTGGGTCAAGCGCAGGTATGTATGGTACTCGAGGGCTTACCTTCTGCAGAGACGTTTACCCCTTGAGACTCCGTGCAACTGTTTTTACTTCTTCAGAGTAGTCTGTGACCTTCCATCTGAACACGAGGCTCCACCTCCAACACGGGTCACTGGAGGAGCTTCGGTCCCGGGACCTCACGGGGGAATTTGCATTAATCTTGCGGGGTCTTCCCAGGTTTGTGACGCAGGAGCCCAAAATCTCAGATCACCCCGGGCATTGTCAGTGGATGGCAAGGTCATTACCTGCTCTCATAAGCACCTCCTCCAAAAGACTAGGGGTGATCTGCTGTGGGAGGAGCGGTGCAGGTGATCTATGGTCAGAGGAGCGGCAGAGAATTCAATGTGGGGCCACCTGGGGCTTCATATGAGAGAATTCATTGTGGGGCCACCTGGAGCTTCATATGAGAGAATTCATTGTGGGGCCACCTGGAGCTTCATATGAGAGAACTCATTGTGGGGCCACCTGGAGCTTCATATGAGAGAACTCATTGTGGGGCCACCTGGAGCTTCATATGAGAGAATTCATTGTGGGGCCACCTGGAGCTTCATATGAGAGAATTCATTGTGGGGCCACCTGGAGCTTCATATGAGAAAATTCATTGTGGGGCCACCTGGGGCTTCATATAAGAGAATTCATTGTGGGGCCACCTGGAGCTTCATATCAGACATTTCATTGTGGGGCCACCTGGAGCTTCATATGAGAGAACTCACTGTGGGGCCACCTGGAGCTTCATATGAGACAATTCATTGTGGGGCCATCTGGGCCACAATTTGGGTAATTGTGACCACATTTTAATCATATTTGCCCCAAGTCACAGGAAGGAGAGCCATGTTAGTCTGGTATGAACCCTAAATTTCAAATGGACCGACCTTAATGAGACACGTTCTTGACTCTATGATACTAAATCTCCAGCACTAGATGGCTTACACCCATGAGTCCTCAGGGAGCTTAGTTCAGTGGTAGCCAAGCCATTATTCGAACGCCTTTCAGATTGAAAGGGTACAATTATATTCCGCAGCGCTGTACAATCGTTGAGACAAGACAGGTAAGAAACACCGACAAGCATCATTGACATACTGAAATAGTAGGGGAGGAGGACCAAATGGAAAAGCTAGGTTTGATAGGCGACACAGCAATGTGAATACCAATGTCCTGCATGTGCCTCTGTGGCTGAGTGAAATCCGGGTTCAGAAGAAACTAGAAAAACATAACGAGAATTAATCAGAAGGCTTACACCCACGAGTCCTTATGGAGCTTAGTTTGGTTGTAGCCAAGCCATTATTCAAACACCTTTCAGACTGGAAAGATACCAATTGACCTTAACTAGAATTAATCACCAGGACCAGATGGCTTACACCCACAAGTCCTCAGGGAGCTTAGTTCTGTTGTGGGCAAGCTGTTATTCACACTGGAAAGGTAGCAAATGAAAAATACAGTTTTAATAGGACAAACGGTAAGGTGAATACCAATGTACTGAATGTGCTGCTGCAGCTGATAGAAATCCACGTTCAGAAGATACTAGAAAACTTTAACGGGAATAAATCTCCATGACCAGATGGCTTACACCCACGAGTCCTCAGGGAGCTTAGTTTGGCTGAAGCCAAGCCATTATTCAAACACCTTTCAGACTGGAAAGGTACCAAATGACCTTAACAAGAATTAATCACCAGGACCAGATGGCTTACACCCACAAGTCCTCATGGAGCTTAGTTTGGTTGAAGTCGAACCATTATTCAAACACCTTTCAGACTGGAAAGATACCAAATGGCTCACCTCTCGATCCTGTCACGGCTCTCTGCCGCGACAGGGGAGGGGCTGGATTCCTCGCTCCGATCCGCCAGCGCTGACTGGCGGAACGGACGGGGGAGGGGGCGGGTACAGCTGGCTCCGCCTCTACATAGGCAGAGCCAGCTGTCACTCACGCAGCTGTGCGGATCCAGACATAATTGTCGGGATCCGCTTCAGCTGCGGCGTCTTGTAGCTCGCGGTATACTGAGCTTTGGGTGACGGGAGGACGCTAGTTTGTGTCCTCCCGCTACCCTAATGAGAACTATGGGGGAAAGTCCTAACCCTATAGTTCTCCTTTAATCACCAGGACCAGATGGTTACACCCATAAGTCACCAGGGAGCTTAGTTTGGTTGATTTCGAGCCATTATTCAAACACCTTTCAGACTGGAAAGATACCAAATGACGTTAAGAAGAATTAGTCACCAGGCACAGATGTCTTACACCCATGAGTCCACAGGGAGCTTAGTTCTCTTGTAGGCAAGCCGTTATTCAGACTGGAAAGGAGCCAAATGGTTGGTGGAGAGTAAATTCTGTACCAATATTCAATGAAGGGTCGCAATGAATACTGGGAAACTACGGACCTGACAGCCATAGTATGTAAATTATTTGAGGGGATGGTAAGGGACTGTATGAAAATGGTTCCTATACGTTACAACCAGCGTGGATTCATGAAGTCCATTCTTGTTAGGCCGACCTGTTATCATTACATGAGGACGTGAGGAGTAATTTAGACAGGGGAGGGTGAGTGGAGGCAATTTATCTGTATGTACCCAAATGGGAGGAGCTCCCCTAAGGGGATTGGAGATCAAAAAATGTAGGGTGTAGTCCGATCCGAAATGACAAGGCTCCCGATGCGCACACAGTTCAGATAGGTGTCACTATAAAATCCTTCCCCCAGTAAAGGGGAAAATGTTCTCCTTCCCTCCGATCTCCACCATGGAGAAGACCCAACTCTCTTCGAAGGGGGTCACAAAGCCCGGAACTCTAGTTGAGGGGAGGGCCCTCAACCAACTCTTCCCACCAGATTACCTAGCAACCATTCAACACCCAAAATTAAATGCCCCACATGCTCCTCCCAGCCAGTTCCGCCACTTCTGACAAGGCCTCCGGCGCCGCTAATTACCTGAAGCCTAGGCCTACGGTCACTTGTTCCGTGGTGAAGGGTCAACTAGTCTTCACGTGGAACTTGTTTTTCGGAGATCACATGACCCAGTGCCCAGACTTGTGGTTGGGTGAAGAGCATGCTCCTCCCAGTCCCTCTTCTGACAAGGCTGTGTCAATGTAGAAGTGATCTGGGAGGAGTCCCTTTGACTGAAGAGGGGGAGGAGTCCCGGCTGGTTGGGACCTCCTCATAGAACATCTGCTCCCTCAGACCTCCTGATCCAGATGGAATGTTGAGTGAAGTCATCTAACCCTCTCATATCTCTCCATCATGTGTTTCTATGTTTCCAGGACACGCCATGGAGGAACCCTCAAAGGATTGTCTGACTTTATCTCCAGGTTGTAAGATGGAAGATGAGGACATCACAGCAGATTGTGCGGGAGAAGAGACAATGAGCTCAGCTATGGATGGTGGACTTCACAGTGTGGGTAGACCATGGAATCCCTCTGACTCTGAGCGACCTTGTCCTGTGGGGGATGGTGCCGGAATTAAGGGGGAGGAGACATTTTCCTATCCTGAGTGCCGAGAAAGTTTTGGCTCTGAATTAAGTCTTTCTGAACATCAGAGGTCTCACATGGGTGAGAAGCTTAATGCATGCCTCGTGAGTGTGAAATGTTTTCCTTCGAAATTAGCTCTGGTCACACATTACAGAACTCTCACGGTGGGGATGCCGCATTCTTGCCCTGAGTGTGGGAAGGGTTTTTCATCGATCTCCAGGCTTGTTATACATCAAAGATCTCACACGGGGGAGAAGCCGTATTCTTGCTCTGAGTGTGGGAAATGTTTTGCAAAGAAGTCAGACCTTGTTATACATCAAAGATCTCACACGGGGGAAAAGCCATTTTCCTGCCCCGAGTGTGGGAAACGTTTTATAAAGACGTCACATCTTCGCAGACATCAGAGGTCTCACACAAGGGCGAAGCCAGATTTACGCCCTGAGTTAGAGAAATGTTTACTTTTTAAATCAGAAATGGTCACACACCAGAGCTCTAACACAGAGGAGAAGCGGTATCCTTGTTCGGAGTGTGAAAAAAACTTTAAACATAAGTGCAATCTTATTGTACATCAGAGATTACATACGGGCGAGAGACCATATTCCTGTCCTGATTGTGGGAAAGGTTTTCCACATAAGACAGACCTTGTTATACATCAAAGATTTCACACAGGAAACAGGCCATATTCTTGCGCTGAGTGTGGGAAATGTTTTACAGATAAGTCCAGTCTTACTAGACATCAGAGACTGCATACAGGTGAGAAGCCACATCCCTGTACAGAGTGCGGGAAATGTTATTCCCAGAAATCACAACTTGTTATACATCAAAGAATTCACACGGGGGAGAGGCCCTATGCCTGCCCCGAGTGTGAAAAATGCTTTTCACAAAAGTCCTATCTTACGAAACATCAGAGATCTCACACAGGTGAGAAGCCATATTCCTGTCCTGAGTGTGGAAAATGTTTTTCAGAGAAGTCCTATCTTGCCGTACACCAGCTATGCCACACGCAGGAAAAGCAATTTTCCTGCTCTGAATGCGGGAAATGTTATTGTCGTAAAGCAGACCTTGTTAAACATCAGGGATCTCACACGGGAGAAGCCGTATTCCTGCCCCAAGTGCGGGAAGTGGTTTTCACAGAAGTCCAATCATATCAAACATCCGAGAACCCACAGGAACCTTGAGGGAGGTGTATTAGTGTCCCAGGTGCGGGAAATGTATTCTATATGAGTCATGTTTTGAGGTACATCAGAGGTCTGACACGGGAGGAAATCAGAGTTGACTGAAGCGCACATGCGTTTCCGAAGAACAAACTGAAGAGGGGGAGGAGTCCCGGCTGGTTGGGACCTCCTCATAGAACATCTGCTCCCTCAGACCTCCTGATCCAGATGGAATGTTGAGTGAAGTCATCTAACCCTCTCATATCTCTCCATCATGTGTTTCTATGTTTCCAGGACACGCCATGGAGGAACCCTCAAAGGATTGTCTGACTTTATCTCCAGGTTGTAAGATGGAAGATGAGGACATCACAGCAGATTGTGCGGGAGAAGAGACAATGAGCTCAGCTATGGATGGTGGACTTCACAGTGTGGGTAGACCATGGAATCCCTCTGACTCTGAGCGACCTTGTCCTGTGGGGGATGGTGCCGGAATTAAGGGGGAGGAGACATTTTCCTATCCTGAGTGCCGAGAAAGTTTTGGCTCTGAATTAAGTCTTTCTGAACATCAGAGGTCTCACATGGGTGAGAAGCTTAATGCATGCCTCGTGAGTGTGAAATGTTTTCCTTCGAAATTAGCTCTGGTCACACATTACAGAACTCTCACGGTGGGGATGCCGCATTCTTGCCCTGAGTGTGGGAAGGGTTTTTCATCGATCTCCAGGCTTGTTATACATCAAAGATCTCACACGGGGGAGAAGCCGTATTCTTGCTCTGAGTGTGGGAAATGTTTTGCAAAGAAGTCAGACCTTGTTATACATCAAAGATCTCACACGGGGGAAAAGCCATTTTCCTGCCCCGAGTGTGGGAAACGTTTTATAAAGACGTCACATCTTCGCAGACATCAGAGGTCTCACACAAGGGCGAAGCCAGATTTACGCCCTGAGTTAGAGAAATGTTTACTTTTTAAATCAGAAATGGTCACACACCAGAGCTCTAACACAGAGGAGAAGCGGTATCCTTGTTCGGAGTGTGAAAAAAACTTTAAACATAAGTGCAATCTTATTGTACATCAGAGATTACATACGGGCGAGAGACCATATTCCTGTCCTGATTGTGGGAAAGGTTTTCCACATAAGACAGACCTTGTTATACATCAAAGATTTCACACAGGAAACAGGCCATATTCTTGCGCTGAGTGTGGGAAATGTTTTACAGATAAGTCCAGTCTTACTAGACATCAGAGACTGCATACAGGTGAGAAGCCACATCCCTGTACAGAGTGCGGGAAATGTTATTCCCAGAAATCACAACTTGTTATACATCAAAGAATTCACACGGGGGAGAGGCCCTATGCCTGCCCCGAGTGTGAAAAATGCTTTTCACAAAAGTCCTATCTTACGAAACATCAGAGATCTCACACAGGTGAGAAGCCATATTCCTGTCCTGAGTGTGGAAAATGTTTTTCAGAGAAGTCCTATCTTGCCGTACACCAGCTATGCCACACGCAGGAAAAGCAATTTTCCTGCTCTGAATGCGGGAAATGTTATTGTCGTAAAGCAGACCTTGTTAAACATCAGGGATCTCACACGGGAGAAGCCGTATTCCTGCCCCAAGTGCGGGAAGTGGTTTTCACAGAAGTCCAATCATATCAAACATCCGAGAACCCACAGGAACCTTGAGGGAGGTGTATTAGTGTCCCAGGTGCGGGAAATGTATTCTATATGAGTCATGTTTTGAGGTACATCAGAGGTCTGACACGGGAGGAAATCAGAGTTGACTGAAGCGCACATGCGTTTCCGAAGAACATCTCGCAGCTTGAGGACATAGTTTGCATGCGTGCCCTAAGGAGATCTCCTTGCAGCCCATGAGTATAGTGCACATGTGTGCTCTAAGGACCTCTTCTTGCAGCCCAGGAACATAGTGCACATGTGTGCCATTAGGACCTCTCCTCATCCCCAGTCTCCTTGTAGCCCAGGAGCATAGTGCACATGTGTGCCATAAGGACCTCTCCTCATCCCCAGTCTCCTTGTAGCCCAGGAACATAGAGCACATGTGTGCCATGAGGACCTCTCCTCATCCCCAGTCTCCTTGTAGCCCAGGAACATAGTGCACATGCGTCTCCTAAGGATGTCTCCACAAAGGGACAGGAGGGCGCGCTGCTCCATTTTTTCCTCTGGAGGGTTCTATGAAACTTCTAATTGTTATTTTTAACATGAAACAAATTACTAAAAAATAAATTATTTTTCTAAAATCCTGGAATTGTTTGTACTGCCTCCCCCTCCCCCATCCTCTTCCATTTCCCCCTCTGATAATGTCCGTCATGTGGCGTCTACTCCATCACACCCACCATTTCTTAGTGCTTAAATCTTGTTCATTTTCATGCCCATCGCCAGGAACAGATATCCCTTTCCCGCACCTAATCAGTGTTTATGGTTATAAGAACTTCTCAAGCAATGTTCTACTCACCTGACCATCCGTGACCCTCGCCGGCCTTGTTTCAGGGTGCGAAGGACTGGTAATCCAGCAATACACAGGTGTCCAGTCCACGGTGGTTCCCTCAAGTTAATACCATCTCTGCAGACTTGTCTTCTGGATCATGATAGGATCTGGTCAATGGACAAGTGTTCATGGCAAGCACAGCGTGGAAGCCCACGCCTCGCCTCCTGCACCTAGGAGAGAAGAATCTCCGAACCAGGACGTAACATGACCACGGCTTTAGATGAGTGGGGCTGGTGGGAGCCCGGAGCTTCAAAATTTTCACAATGTCCCTCAACTACAGAGATTTATGGGTTTCAATCCAACCCCCTTCCACGTACAACTACCCATATGAGATGAGACGCAATGGGGTGCTATACCTCGTGAGGTCTACTGCACCTCCACACCCATCAGAGACACAAGAGCACACGACTGTTCCCCAATAAGAGGTCATTTGGGTATAGCCCTAAAGCCACCTTGGCTCCACCCGACTGTTGTAACGATGATCAGCTATTCCTGCTAGGACTACTTCTGTTCTTGAAGATTGGAACGTTAAGTACTAAAGCTAGACGGGTGTGCTCCTCAATGACATACCTTCTTCTGGAAGCCAATGAGATCAATACCTCAGGAACAACCCTACCATGGTCAACCACTTCTCCCCGACTTCCATCGCCGAAGGAAACATCTGCTTTGCTTTGAGGGTTCGAAGGAAGAAATCACTCCCGGGAAATGGATGGACTCCAACAAGACTCTGGAAATCTTTGAAGGGCTGATGGAGTCTTCACTTTGGTCCACGCTGGGTTTTCGATTTGGACCTGGAGGCTCATCATTGTTTCACTGAACCTCACCCATGCCTAATGTCAATCATCCCTTAGGGAATGGGTGCTGACCTGGTAATAGTGCCTGCTTCATTGGCCCCATCCTTATATTGATACCATCAGTCTTCCCGTCTAAGACTGAGGAGTGCCCGGATCCTTCTACTGATACCATCAGTCTGCCCGTCTAAGACCGAGGAGTGTCCGGATCCTTCTACTGATACCATCAGTCTTCCCGTCTAAGACCGAGGAGTGCCCGCATCCTTCTACTGATACCATCAGTCTTCCCGTGTAAGACCGAGGAGTGTCCGGATCCTTCTAATGATACCATCAGTCTGCCCGTCTAAGACCGAGGAGTGCCCGGATCCTTCTACTGATACCCTCAGTCTGCCCCTCTAAGACCGAGGAGTGTCCGGATCCTTCTAATGATACCATCAGTCTGCCCGTCTAAGACCGAGGAGTGCCCGGATCCATCTACTGATACCCTCAGTCTGCCCCTCTAAGACCGAGGAGTGTCCGGATCCTTCTAATGATACCATCAGTCTGCCCGTCTAAGACCGAGGAGTGCCCGGATCCTTCTACTGATACCCTCAGTCTGCCCGTCTAAGACCGAGGAGTGCCCGGATCCTTCTACTGATACCATCAGTCTGCCCGTCTCCGAGGAGTGCCCGGATCCTTCTAATGATACCATCAGTCTGCCCGTCTAAGACCGAGGAGTTCCCGGATCCTTCTACTGATACCATCAGTCTGCCCATCTAAGACCGAGGAGTGCCCGGATCCTTCTAATGATGCCATCAGTCTGCCCGTCTAAGACCGAGGAGTGCCCGGGACCTTTCGATGGCACCTTCAGTCTTCCTGTCTAAAGCGGGCCACACACCTATAGATAATCTGTAGACTTTCTATGGTCAGATGGAGGAATCTCCCGCTGGGCCAAGCTTCAGGATCTGGCTAGTCGGCCCCTCTGGGTCTCAAAATACCGGAAGAATCTGATTGGGCATCCAATCAGTCATATATTTCTTATCCCTCTCGGTGGGGGTGGAGATCTATAAGGATATACAGAACACACAGCACAGGGCGGTGTTCACACTACGAGAGGTTTCTCGGGGCTGCAGTTCCTCTGAGCTCCACCAGGTGGTGATCTCACCTATACCCAGAAGTGACAGGAAGTGATGTCAGGTACAGACAGGAAGTTCTAGCTGTGAGGTGATTTCAGAGGAGACATTGCTGGAACTGGCAGCAGAAGAGGTAATAAGATATTATGTTATATTTACACCCGGTAACAGGTGACCGCGGAATATTTAGTAGCTGGGAAATGTCACGGAAACACCTGAATCCAATGATTTGGAGGGGGAGGGGCCCCAATGCTTTTGGCGATATAGAGTATCATTTGTAGGAACTTCCAAGACATCGGGTCACCAAAGTTAATTTCGAAGTCGAGAAAACAAACTCTTGCGGAACATTACGAGGAGAACACGAAATATCCGGCTCGGGAGAAGACGATGGAAGCCGCCGGAGATGTTGGCCGTGTGCTAAGGACTGATCCCTCTTATCTTAGGGATCGTCTCTGGGAGGTCAACACTTTATTGACCAGGACCAGCGATGGCTTTGTCCGGATTGTCAATGATCGTGAGTCTAGTCTGAGTGTTGCTTACACATATAACATGACTGATCACGTGTCCTAGGGGATGGTGGAAATTCGGGATGCCGATACCGATACTAGTTTTGGTGCCGATA